CATAGTAGATACGCCATAGCAAAGGAGTGATAGTTTCACCTTGGTCAATGCCATTGTGAACTGAATAAGATGAAGTTAAGCCAAGGTTAGTTATAACTTATAGAGTTATCTCTAACTCTATTCATTACAGTACTTAAATATTAAAATCAAATAAAATCAAATATATCAATATTACTACTCTAATTTATTAATTGTAATAATTATTTTATAATTACACAGATCAAATACTAATCATCATTATTATTATATAATTTTAGTAGTCTAATTCATTACTAATATGATCAAAAATACTAAGTCATGTCATTCATGTGACCATAATAAGGCATGTCACATGTCTGGTTACAGGCTAAATTGAGACAAAAGCTGTCTTGATATTATCATATCAAGCAGTTATTTTGTCTCTTATATGCTTGCTGTTAACAATTAAATACATATAAATACTTGTAGAGCATTATCTCTTGACTTGACATTTCTGTTTTTTTTTTTTTTAAATCACTAACTTAAAGATCATACTCAAAATAAATTAAAAACTCATAATACTGGATGCACCTAAATCTGTTATATCTACTGTCTTAATGCATAACCTAACATCAAAGATCCATTTACCAATCATTTGAATTTGTTCTATAGATAGGTTTTTTTCATTACTGCTATAGTATTATCAATTCTCAAACTATGTGTTGTAAATCTCTCTTTGATTTTAGCATAAGCTGTTATACATCTTACTATAGTTGATATAGTTAAAACAGACATTTCATAACCTGATTTAGACAAAAAAAATAGAAATGTCCTTATTTAATACTGATCTAATTTTAATATACTCTTTTATCAAACCTACTAGACAGAACTTACTGTTTGAACTTTCTACAGATATAAATTTTTCTTTTACAAGCTGGTTTATTTTAGACTTATTAATATAAACTTACAACAAACTATCAATACATTTAAGGTCTTTTATTTTCAAGTTACAAAACTTACTCAGATGTCTCATCATTCTTATTTTTAAAACTATTAATATAAGATCTCTAATCCAATATTTATAAGAAACTCCTTCTGACTGAAAGAGTAAATAATGCTTAATTATCTTTACTGATAATAGATCTCTAGACCAATCTGCTTCTGCATCTTGTATTACTCATTTCTTTACACTAATGATCAAACATTATACTGCACTGTTTCTAGTTAGGTTTGACAAATATATTACCTTATACAATCTGAAAATTGCTATTAAAGAATCTACTATTTTCAAACTGTAACCTGCTATTTCTAGTTAAGCTATAAAAGCCATTATCATTATGTATAAGACTAGGCATAAAACATAATACATCTTACTAGTAAAATTCTTAAAAACCAATCACATTCTTTTTAACCTTTTCTTGTATGATTTACTGATCATATTTTCAACTAAAAATTCTATCTAATTTAGAAATCCAGTACCAGTCTATCTGAATTACTCTTAGATACCAATTCAGATTATTGCATAGCTTTAGATAACCCAATAGGTTTGGTAAGACAATTTCTGCTAAAGGTGAATGATCCATTTCTTTTCTTTGATTATTTATCACAATTAGTTATCATAGTGCTGCTATCCAAACCAGAATAATAATTATTATAAGTACTCTGCACTCTTTTATATATACTAATGCATAATAAATCATTACAAATAATGAACACAAATAGTTTACTATGCTCTTTTAGTTCTGAATAAAACAGTTAATTGCTTCCAACCCTAAACAAAAGTACAGACTGTTGAATCTTACTAATTTTATATTTAGATAATCTGCAAATCTGTTCATTTTGAACTTTCTTCAATGAATATTTAATTCTATTACAATTTTTATCTTCATATCCAATCTCCCAAATTTCTTATCTTAGAAAATGAGCTAGTTAAATTTCTTTTACCAAGGATTTACAGTGTTTGAAAAATTACTATATCTTTCTCTAAACATAGTCTTTATATTTTACAAACAATATTCTTCTGCCAATCTAACAAATTTTACTAATACTGTTTTTAATGTCACTTTGTTATCTATTATTAGTATTACAAATGATCTTGATAGAAAGTCTCTAAACATCTAAAGAATTTTCAGAAAAACAATTAATTCTAATTAAACTATCAGATTTGCTGAGAGCCTGTATGACAACACTCTTTTGCTATTTATCTGTAAACATCTTACACCAGCTTATCAATAAGACATATATATAAACTGTCTTTATCTTAAATAGTTTCCAAGCTGAGCAACTATTCTATGCTTTCAAGTTCTCTACTAACCATTCTATATTCTTTACTGCTTGTAGTTACAACCTTATCAATTTGTTTTATTCACTTCACAGATAATTTTTTATATCTATTAACTTATAAAATTCTAAATTCTTTATCTTTGCTAATGTAAATGTTCTTAATAAAACTGAATTTGTCTGCAATTGCTGCCAGTTCTCTTACTAAGACCTATGATCTTTCTAGCATATCTTCTAAATAATTTATTATAGCAATGATCTTTTTCTTTAAAGCAATAACTATACTCTTTACTAAATTGATAAACAGACCATAAAACTTGGACTTCTAAGTCAGTTTCTAATCTTCTTTTTCTTTTGTATGAATTCAGTCACAAACTTTTAATCTGTTTCTATAACCTCTTTCTGTTATTTCAAGCATACCTTCTTCAATGAATATGCTACCCACACATCATTTAGATAATTTTTACAAAAAATTTCTCAAGCTCACTAGCTTCTAACTATCACTTTTATTATTTTTGTAAATATTTAGAATGACTAATTCAGACCAAAAAGAAGAACTCTGTAAAAATACCATTTCTTGTTTATAACAAATTTGAAAAATCTTTGCATTATATTATCTATGATCATGTGATGATACTCTTCTTTTAAGTTAAAAATTATGACCTACCAAGTCTTTTCTACTGCTTGCAAAAGTAACCTTATAGCTTTGAATTTAAAGAACTTTTTCAAAAATGTCATATTCAACCTTTTAAGATCTATTACTAATTTGAACTTCTTTTTTTCTTGTTTTGAAATAAGAAAAACAGGACTTATTTTTACCCTGTCTTACACAAATGATTCAACTTCTGTTCTATCTATAAGTCTTCTTTCATTATAAACTGTTTGAATTTTAGTACCTAATGTCTTATCAACTTTATAACTTCTCTTAGAAATAATAAAATCCTTCCTTTTAACCAACTTATAACAATCAGAAATTATTTTATGACTTTTCTCTCTTGAACTGCTAAAACCTAATACAATCTTTCTATGACTACCTGACACTAATGTAACCTTTTTATAACTACTTGAGACTCTCTCATTTTTTGAATAATACTCTTTTCTGTTACTGCATTTTGAGTATAGTCAGATTTTTTTCAGTTTTAAATTATCCATCTGAAAGAGCATGCTTAAGTGCTTTCTTGAACTATACTTATTCACATAATGCTTTTTTTCTTATTACAAGATGCATACTACATCTCTAAAACCAATCTTACTATTACTACTTAGATTATTAGCCAACACCTGCATCTTTCTATGACTAAAATGTAACTGTAAACTATATACTACATTACAAGACAAACTTTTTTAGAAAACTTGCTAATCTAAAAATTTTAAATTGGTCCAATTTTGAAAACCAGAATCATTTTACTAACCTTTCAAGCCAATAAAATTAGAACTCATTAACTAAAAAAAAAATTATTGCTATATTGGTTATAAAACAGTTGAAACTGAACCAAAGTAGGAAAGACAGACTGTATCTTTTAAACAAACAGAATTTGTATTTTTTGTTTATTCTAGAACTTATTTCTAATAAAACTTTGATCTTGCAGTACTCTAGGTCTTTTACTTTTTGTAAATAAAATGTTATACAGCCAATTTAGCTTTTTTTATCTACTACTAAACAACTTAGCCATTGGATCATTATTGCCAAAAGCCATCTTCGCTGCTACATTCTAACCATCTTTATTAGCAATCATAACTACATATGCTTTCTTAAGTGCAATCTGCTTTCTAAATAAACAAACTTTATATTCACTAACAACAAAGCCTTATCCAAAAGTGAATTAGTTTTGCACTATTCATTATATTCTTATTAATTTATGACTTTTGAAAGTTCATGTCTCTTTCAAATATTCTTATTTATTTTATATAATATTAAAGCTTTATTCTAAAACTAAGAGGCCTGTTGTAACTAGTTATTATCTAACATATTTGATATTTATTTTCTTTTTTCAGATCTAACATCAACTGGACTACTAGCTGAACCAACTACTAGTTCAAAAAATAATGAACTAGCATTATCAAACATAAATATAATTATACTATTACTACTAGACAGCATCTTTATTTTTTCAATATTAGTCTTGCTAACAACCTTTTTTTTCTTACTCTTATTAACCAACTGATTAACCAAATACTGTTTAAAATCTGCCTTAGCAATCCCTAACTTATAATATAAAAACCTTAACATATCAACTAACATATGACTAAAATTGGCTTTAAAATTAGTCTGATTACTTTTTTGCATTACCTTACAATCACTATTAAACAAGAAGACACATTTATCAAAAATTTTGGCATTAATATTTTGAACTTGTTTTTCTTTATTAAAATTTTTTTATTAACATTATTTTACTAGAATTTTACTTAACAAAACCAGACTAAAAGTTAAGTTCATAAAAGAAATAGTTATCTCTAACTCTATTCATTATAGTATTTAAATACTAAAATCAAATAAACTCAAATATATTAATATTATTACTCTAATTTACTAATCATAATAATTATTTCATAATTATACTAATTAAATACTAATTGCTATTATTACTATATAATTTTAGAAGTCTAATTTATTACTAATATGGTCAAAAATACTAAGCCATATCATTCATATAACTGTAATAAGACATGTTACATGCCTGGTTATAGACTAATTCAAGACAAAAGCTGCCTTGATACTATTATATTAAGCAGCTATAACATAGCAATCTAACTAGCAAATTTGAATATTATGTATTAAATTACATGCAATTGAATTTTTAGTTAATATTACTTTTAGAACTCTTGAGAAGAGGAAGGTAATATTAACTAAAGAATTAACTTCAAACAGTCTTGTATAGACTTTGTATAGTATCTGTTAAGTTATAATTATCATATTATAGTTGAGCAGCTTCTGTTATCACTGTGATTAAAGAAAAAACTATAAGTTAACATTTTAGTAATAACTGTAAAATAAGTTCTCAATTTATTATAGATAATTAATTTTAGTTAATCATAAGAAACTCTGTCAATATTGGTTTATTTGATCTAAAATTTGAAGAATATATATTTAAAAACCTATCATATCTTTTCTACTAAGTGTATTTTAGTAAAAAAATCTTTCTGAAATCTGCTATTCAATATTAAAACAGTGATACCATTTATGATTTGTAAAAAATTTGCAAAAAACTCTTTTTGAAGTAATATTCTAACTATCATTATGCAAACTTTAAATATCTATATCTCAACATCTACTAGACTAATTTTAGCATTTTGATCTTCTTTAGGCCTAGAAAGACTTCTTCTACAACTTTTCTTTAAGTACTAAAACCTGTTGTCATAATAACTTCAAGAGATATTTACTAATTTCTAAAAATTGGAATTTAGAAATAAAAGCTTAAGTGTTTATATTATAACAAACAGCTTTTAAATTAATAGTATATGCAATTTAACTTTAAAAGATACTTATTAAAAGTATTTTTATATACCAAAGAATATACTATTCAGTTACCTATTACTAAACCAAATAATTCATATAAAATTTGTTATCCTATAATCTTAAATATACTCTCTGACTTTCAAAACTTTTTATTTTTAGTATACTAAACAATACTTTATTTGTAATTTCTTTGATAAAGCTATAGAATATTTTAACTAAATTAAACAAATCTATACTCAATATAACTTACTTTAATTAAAGAACATCATCTTCAAACTTATTTTTAGTTTTAGATATTCTAATTTTTTTGAAAATATTGTTGATATTATTAGAAGTATAACATTCTTAGCTGTTTATACAAACTGTTATCAAAGAAATCTCTATATATTAACAAAAAAAGATTTTATATCCTTTTATCATCTTAATTTTGAAGACTATAGTAAGTTTTTTGAAACATTTTTTGATTCATAACAACCTATACCTAACTCTTTACACAATCAACAAATTCAAAATATTATAGCCAATGCAGATAATGTTCTTAATTATCTAAAAAAAAATAAAAAAGATAAAAATATTGTTTATATTAAACCTTTTTATGAAAATAGAACTCAAGACTCCTTAGTCTGGATTGTTAATTTTGAAAAAGCTGCAATTGCTAATAGCTGAAGTCTTACTAAATAGAGAAAAATTATACTAGCTTTCTTTAGAAAAAATGCTAATAAATAGCAACAAGCTTATTATTCTATAAATATTGTCACTAATAAGGCAGAAAATAATTGGATTGTTATAAAAGCTGCTTTTATTACACTATTCTGTAATCAACACTAAAAAAACAAATGAATTAAAAATCTAGATAAATTAAAACAACTTTTTACTAAATCTGTTAAAACCTACTATAGCTAATATAACAAAGTTATTAAATGAATAGAAACTAATAACAACCTAACTGATGCCTAAAAGTTATATTACTTTAATAAGAGACTTTGTCCAAAAACCCTTTCTGTTATTCTTATACACAATACTATTACTGTAACTGATGCTATAGGATTTGCAAAAAGATTTGAATAAGAAAAAGATTTGCTACTTAAAGTGAACCTAGCTTAGCTGCTACTATCAGAAGTTTGAAAAAGATTATTAACAATCTAACTAAACAATTGCAACAAATGACTCTTAATTATACAACTATTGCATCAGCACTTACTGAACTTATACCTAGAATTCAACAAAAGTTCTAATCCAGAAATTAATACCAACCTAAAACCTAATTTCAATCTAGAAACCAGTATCAGAAATCTTTGATTATTTGTTATAACTATAAAGAAAAAAGACACTATACTCAAGATTGTTTAGCAGAAAAGCAACCTACAATAAGTTAATATAAGCAATTGATCTAGGATAATAGAAGGAAAAATATTAATTACATTGAAATTGAGAATAATGATGTTGAAGAAGTATACATCACCAAAACATCAAAAAGCAAACTCTATTCTACTGACAAAAAACAGACCAAGTTTTTAAACAAAAATTCTAAATCCTAAAGAGAATTTAAACTTAGAAATAGAACTGTCATACCAGATAAACCTGACACTCAAATGGATAAAATTCCTATAAAAATCTCTATTAAAGTATCTATTACAAAAAGAACTAAACAAAAACCCAAATTCAAAACTTATCTATCTATAATTGAACAAGTTGAACTTTATGATATTTCAACTAACATCTTAAATATAAAATCTTCTGTCACTATTAGATAATAGTTACAACTCTCTGCTCAGCATAAAAATCTTATAAGAATTTTGCAAAAGAAAAAGAAACCTATTAATGAAGCAAACCAAGCTAAAATGATTATTCTAAAAAGACCATAGCAATAAGATGTTATATTTAAACTAAAAAAAATCTTGTTATTGCTATTCTTGATTCAAGAGCAGCTATAAGCATAATTACAGCCAAGCTTATAAGAAAATTATGACTTTAAATACAAAAACTCTTCAAAACTATTGTGTTACTGTCAATAGAAATCATACCAAAACTTTAAAAATTATCTCTGATATAAAATTACTATTCAGGATATAATTATTTCTATTAACCTCTAAGTAATAGAATCTATGAATAAAACTCTTCTTCTTGAAACAGATTAGTTCAACAAGTCAAGAGTCAAGTTGGATTTTAAAAATAACATTTTAAATATTTAATACTTAAAAAAGAAAGCTACTACTAATGCTACTTATACTAATAACTCTTACTCTATCTTAGATGAAGTAGATGAGAATGTTAAAGATCAATAGATTGATAAGTTAGATAAAAAAAAAAAAAGACAACCTATTATTTAGAAGAATAGCCTTCTGTAATTGATGAAATGTATTACAATCTCTGGTCAGAAATAAAAGCTATTTTAGCTTTTTATCTAATTTAATTGTTAAAAAAAAAGATCTATTCTATTAAAAACCCAAATCTAAATTTAAATCTTGAACTTACCAAAGACTAACATATTCAAAGTAAACAACTTTTAATGAAAAATATTAATATTTTCTTAGAAAATATTTTAGAAGATAGACAGTTTAAGAAATTAGAATAAACTAATATTATTTGTCATAAAATTAACCCAAATAGCTATAAACCTATTAATAAAAAAGCTTACCAGTACCCTTCAAATAAACAGAAATTTTTGCAAAAAAAAATTTAAGCAATACTAGAAAAAAAAATTATTAAAGAATCTTTTGGACCCTGGTCTTCTTCTGTTATATTTGTGCCAAAGAAGGATAAACAAAAAAGACTTTGCATTAGCTATAGAAAACTTAATACTATTACTAAAAAAGATGTATACTTACTACCAACCATTCAAGAAATTTTAAATTTATTCAATAGAGCCTCTTAGTTTACTAATTTAGATTTAGTCAGTAGATATTGGCAAGTCACTATAAAGGAAAAAGATAAAAAAAAGACTGCCTTCATTACAAAATAGTAAACATATGAGTTTAATATTATGTCTTTTGAACTTACTAATACATCTGCAACTTTTTAAAGATTAATGAATAAAATACTTTGCCTTTTTATCAACAAATTTGTAATAGCATACCTAGATAATATTACTATTTATTCCAAAAGCTTTCAAGAATATTTGGATTATGTTTAATAAGTTATAAATATTTTAAAAGAAGCCAACTTGAAATTAAATTTGTCAAAATGTTATTTCTTCTTAAATAATATCAAGTTCTTAGAATATATTATTGGAAAAAATAAAATTAAAACAGATAAAAGACTAGTAAACAAAATTAAAAATTTTCCAAAATCTACTAATTTTAGACAACTAAAAGGATTTTTAGGAATTGCCTTTTATTACTGATAATTTATAGAAAGATTTTTCAAAATTGCCAAACCTTTAAACCAATTACTAAAGAAAGATGAACTCTATCTGTAAACAAAAAAACATCAACAAGTCTTTGATACTCTCAAAAATTACCTTATTTCAGATCCTATCTTACAATATCCTGACTTTAATCAATCTTTTTATCTGCATACTGATGCTTTAATCTTAGGATTAGGACCAGTTTTATCTTAACTAAATAATGACTACAAGAAATATATCATTGCTTATGCTAGTAGAAGATTAAATAATGCTGAACAAATCTATTCTACTATTAACTTAGAATGTTTAGCTTTGTATAAACTATTAAACACTTCTATCAATACTTAGAAGCCAAACATTTCTTTTTTATTACTGACTATTTGCCTTGCAATGCTTAAGAACTTTTAATCTTAAAAGAAAAAGAGTCAGATGGGTTATGAAACTAGAATCTTATAACTTTACTGTAATTCATTATTCTGAAAGA